GCGTCTCTAAAGTACGAAGCCCAAGTATATCAATTGAAGAAAGAAAATGATGACTTGAATAAAGATATGAAAGCCATGCATGATGGTTTTCAAATAATCATTCAAGTTTTCAAAAATGATGCTTTTAGTGATACTATAGAATAGTGGGCAAAAAGAGTCACTAAATTGAAGAATGACGCTGCATAATGGAGAAAGAATTGTAAAGTGCATAAAGATTGAGCTGTGAATCTTGTTCATGATCTACAAATTGTATAAAGTAAGCGCAATGTAGCCTTGATTGATTTGGGAAGATTTTAAGCAAAAAATGAGATGTTGTGCATATCAATGGCCAATGTAGAAGCCTCATATCAAAGCCACAAGCATGAGAGCGATCTTGAACTAGAAGCTAGTAGAGCAAAGAATAATACATCATCAAAAGCTTGTTCACGATAGTGGAAATTTTAAGCAAGAACTTCATAACCACTTTGAGTCTCTTATAAAGGAAAATGAACAATATTTCTACAGAATCATGAATTGAAGCATAATATGGAGGAAAAAGACAATTTTATGAAAGAGGCTATTACTGAAGCAAGCAATGTGAGTCACAAATTGGTCAACTTAGTTGACCTTGCAAAATAATTGAAGCAGATTGATGACTCAACACTAGATCATGCTTGAAGGTTAACTTGGATCTTGAAAGAGGTAGATAAGCTTGTAGTGCAAGTTGTTCTTTATCTGTAAAATTTGACTATTTGATATATTGAAACCTTTGTGTTCAATGAAAATTGTTTTAAGATGGCAATTATAGAACATCATTTTTTCGCTTACATGTATTGCATATATTTATTTAAGTGTTTTACATGCATTAGTAATGAAAACATGAAAATAATTTTAGAGTGTTATGCGAAAGTAACACCACGATCATCCATTAACATACCGCTACATTGCCATCATGGATAAGATGTTGGAAGCAATAGAACATTCTCAAGATGAATTATGAGATCAATTAACCATACCGCAATATGACGTGAGAAATCAAGCTTTAAATACTCAACAAGAAGTATTAAATCAAATGAACCAAATATTGGCTACAAGGGTTATTGAAAAAGGGAAAACGCCTTCTAAGGGATATAAATGTTATCAAGTTGGCACATCAAGGTTAGAAACCTACCCCGAGACATTATATATGAATGAAGGAAAGAGTCTCACTAATTATAACCAATTTAGAGATAAGTTTAAGCATTTAGAGGAAATGGTTGGAACTATGAAAGGTGTAACTCCCCAAAACTTCAATTACAGCCCTCAATCTCTCCATTCCATCATAGTATCCAAATATCAATACAACAAAATAGGACTATAACGACAATTTTAGTCCTATAGCAGCATTTTAAAGCATCGCTAAAAACATTGCCAGCGTTTAAAAGCCACAAAAAACACCATGTAAACAAACAACATTTTTAGTCTATAACAACATTTTTCAGTTCTATAACGGTGTTTGACATTCACAAACATCGCAAAAAGTTAGTGTTTTGTGGCATTTTCGATAAAAACAACAAAATAAGTTAGGTTATTTAGTAGCGTTTAGGATAAAAATGCCGTAATAAGCTAGGTTCTTTAACAATGTTTTGGAAACAAATGCCATAAAACATTAGGTTCCTTAGCAGCGTTTTGTAAACAAATACCAATAGTTGTGATGATATATAGTGACATTTTCCCACACAAACACCGTAAATTATGGACTCCATTAGTGTGATTTTTCATCATAAAATGCCGCTAATCACAACTGATTTTCAAAATATTTTATTTCCTACTATGTATACCCAAATTTAACTTGTAACAATATCCAATAACAACCTTGAATTGTAATTACAATTCCAATTAAGTAAAAATACATAAATATATGAATAAATCAAAGTTTATAAACATCCAACTGAAATGTAACATAGTTCAACATTTTTCACTAAAATAAATAAAACATTAACCTAAGAAATCACTTACGCTGAATAATTTTTCATTTGATTCTATTGCGTCATCTGCTAAATAGCTTCAAGTTGATTTTGAAGTTCTTCATATTTTTTTCCTGAAATGTTGATTTTCTCTCTGCTTCCCTTGCTTCTCTCTCTATTTCCCTCACTTCTTTCTCTTCATTTTAGGTTTTCATTTGAGCAAATTTTGTATCCACTTCAATCAACTGTTGTTTTAATCGATTAACTTCTGATTGAGAAGAATAGTTGTGTGATGGCACGTACTGATACAAGCTTGATCCAAAATATTTAGTCGAGGAAATAAAGGATCCCTGACAATGAACTCTATCATATCTTTTAAGAACTAAAACTTTAGCAATAACTTGATTTTCAATCTCATCCACATTAATAAAACCATGAGATGAAGTCGTAGCTTAATACTTTACCGTTTTATCAATCAATTTTTGAATTATGAATTTAGAACTAATTCAAAAATTATTTAAAATAAAAATGTTAGTACTATAAATATGAGTATAACATAAAAAAGATTTTATATCCGGCAAATATATCATAATTTATGCAGCTTCAAGAGCCATACGAGAGCCATCTTTTTTTGGTATGTATCATTTTGAAGAGCTTCATTCGTCTAACTCTATTGCCAAATATAATTTCCTATAATGTAAAATATAAATTAACACTTACAAAAAGGTAATAAATAATAAAAATATTTGTTACTATGTGCTACCAACTTAAAATAACTATGTGAAAAATCAATAATTAAAAAAAGAATATCTCATCATGAGCTATATGAGCAAAGCTCTTTGATCCAACTGTGTGAGTAAAATTTTGAAATTTACATGACTTATAAAGTCAATATTATAGTGACATTATATTATTTTTTAAAGTGCATCATACCTCTCCTTTCTTTGAACTCCAAAACCTAACTGTGTCTTCCTATTGATACCTTAGCATTCTAGGTGGGACATTTTGCAACTTTTATTCTAGGCTAAGATTATTATTAAAATAATACTTTTTAAGGAACTCTTGTGGTATCTCCATTTCTTTCCTAATGATTACTTTAAATAATCATTTTAGACCTCTAGAAAAAATTTATCCCACAAAATAAAACAAGTGTTAAAAGTAAACATAAATTACTGATGAGCACTTTAAAATTTTTACTTGTTAATTCTCCCATTTTATGAATTATCACAACTAATTTGGAAGGTTCTATGTTTATTTTCACGCAGTGATATATTTTTCATAATTGGTAGCAAAAGGACACATTCTACATTTTTTTATTTTTTGATTGCGGCTGGAGACATGGGTACTATACTGGTATGTTGTGGCAGTTTCTAAAAGGTCCAGTTAGCATGAAAAAGACTCTGAAAGCTGCCTAGACAACACGATCTGAGGAGATATCTTAAGAATTTAGTTTTTAAGTTTGAAATTAAAAAATGTGAATTATCTTTTGGATTTTGTTTATTTTAAATTCCATGTTATTTTACGATTCAGAAGCCTATAAATACCCTCCTTAGGGTAAGGCTTAGGATATCTCAAATTCATATATTTTACTTTTTTCTTGCTTTAATCAAAGTTTTCATTTTCTTTCAATTTTTTCTTTCTTTACTTTACGTTTTTTTTTATTTTTCATAAAATATGCTAAGTATGGTCTCTACATGCTTAGCTAATTTTCCTTATAGCCGAGAGCTAGCAATGAATCAATTCCATAAGTGATAATTAAAAAAACAATGCTTAGCTAAGGAAAATCGAGATCAGATTTGATTCTCGATGAGACAACATAATCTGAGTCGGGCCTTTCCAATTCTTAATTTTGTTTGTTCTAAAGGCAATATATATGGTTAGCCCATTCAAGAATTTGATTTCGATGAGTGACTTGGGAAGATTGGTTACCAGAGAGGAAGACAAGTTACAATGGGTTGGGCGTTGTAGATTATAATTGCCATGAATCACTGAGAAAAATCCATTTTGATGATCAACGGAACTGAAGCAAAGCTAGCTTGAGGTGGTTTTGTCATTTGATATTTTCTCAATCTTATTTACATTTAATTTTTTTCCTTGTTTTTAGTTTTTATTTTCTATATTTCTTTACTTCATCTCATACTCGCTAAACCCTCTATTTGTTTATTTTTCTTACAGTTGCCTAGACTAAAGTCGACACAAATTTGCCGAAATTACTAAAGTCCCTATGGATTGACCCTCTTTCACTGCACTATTCTCAATTTTATTTATTTTGTTTTGAAGAGGATTATTTTATTTTAAAGAGTAAAATGATGTTTGTCAAAATTGGCGCCCTTGCCGGGGACTTTCGACAAAATTACTAATTCAGTTTGGTTTTTTATTTATGATCAGGAATAATCCTAGAGAGCTAGTAGATTTTGAACCTGAGATTGATGCACTAGGCAAGAGACTATGTGGAATAACACTTCGGGAAATGAGGAAACAACAAGAAGTATAACGCCAAGAACAATCAGATCCAGATCCCAAAGTATGGTGCTAGTTGTCCGCATCATGGTTTATCCAAACAGACACTCCTTCAATTTCTTTATGAAAGAATGCTTCTGGTAGATAAGAAAATGATAGATGTCGCTAGCGACATCTAATGCCAATTCCTGTGAAGAAGTAATACCCAACGCCACTGTGAACGTCGAATTCCACACCAACAATACATGAACTGGTGAATAATCGTACTATTTGAGAATTGGACTTGGCACCCGCCATTCAACATCAACTCTCATTTCTTTTCATAACGGTGAAACCCGTTTTAAACTTAAGATGCGATTAATCCATCTCTATCCCACTTATCACGACATTCCCAGTGAGAGTGTGCATAAACACCTCACAAAATTTCATATGGTTTGCAGTAGCATAAATCCCCAGGGAGTTTCCAAAGATCAAATAAAACTTAGAGTAGTTCATTTTTCCTTAGTCAGATCGGATAAGGAATTGGCATTTTATTTACCACCGAATTCCATTATTACCTGGGCTAATTTATCTTGTGTTTTCCTTGATAGGTTTTTCCCAACGATGAAAGCAAGTGAACTAAGAAGAAATATTTTTGGGAATTCAAAAAATGAAGGAAATACCCTCTATGATTATTAGGAGAGATTTAAAAAATTATGTGCTAGTTGTCCACATCATTGTTTATCCAAACATACACTACTTCAATTTCTTTACGAAGGAATGCTTCCGATAGATAAGAAAATGGTAGATGCCGCTAGTGGCGGCATCCTCGTCAACATGACCCTGGATGCATCAAGAATGTTAATTTCTACCATGTCTTCCAGTTCACAGTAATTCAGCTCCTCAAGTGAACCCAACCGATGGGTTCACGAAGTAAGTATTGTTTCACTTGAGAATAAAATAGACAAATTAACTGACATAGTTAATTCTCTTGTTTCAGGAAAGATTGAAGCTGAAAAAGTTTGAGGAGTTTGTACGATGCCGGATCGTCCGATGGATTACTGTCCAATGTTACAAGATGGATCCAACATAGAAGTGAATGTTGTAGGCAACTTTTCGGGACTTCCCCAAAGAGCCTATAACTTTTACGGCAACACCTTCAATCTAGAATGGTAAGACCATCCGAATCTGAGTTACAAAAACAATCAAAGTACCAACCTGATTTATCCACCGAGATCTCCTCAGTTTCCTATCCAAACGCCACAAAAATCCTCCATTGAAACAATTGTCAAAAAAATTAGCCTTGTCCCAAGAGAAATTCTGAACAAATAAGACATCGCAAACAGAAAAAAATTCAAGGGAAAATATCAGTGCAATTACTTACTGAAGTGGTATCATCATCTCGTCCAAAACTCCAAAAGAATCCAAGGAAAAAGTTGCACCACCAAAGAAACAAGAAGACAAATATTCGCCTCCACCTATCTCAGGTAATCACCCATCATCATATTCTTTTTCTTCTCCTTACAAAGTCCCTCCTCCTTTTCCTTCTAGATTAATGAAGCAATATAAGAAAACATAGGTGAAAGAAATTTTAGACATATTTTGAAAAGTGGAAATTAACATTCCGATTCTTGAGATGATTTGGAAGGTTCCCAAATATGCCAAGATCCTCAAAGATCATTGGACAAATCGAAGTTGACTCATTGGAAATGAAAAGGTGAACTTGAGCGAGAATGTTTCGTTAGTTTTTCAACGACAACTTCCACTAAAGTATAAGGACCAAGGTATGTTTGTCATACCTTGTAAGATTGGAAATGTTCGAATTAAGTGCGTTATGTACGACTTAGGTGCATCCATTAACGTAATGTCACTTTTTATCTACGATAAAATTTTCAATGAACCGTTGAAAGAAATAAGGGCCACGGTTCAACTCGTTGATCGATCAATTATTTACCCTAAGGGAGTATTAGAAAATGTTTTGGTGAAGGTAAATGATTTAATATTTCCTACTGATTTTTTATATAATTGACATGGAAAATGATCACAATAATATCGGATCCAAAATTCTTCTCGGGTGACCCTTCCTGAGTACAACACACACAAAGATTGATGTCTGAAGTGGTATTTTAACTATGGAGTTTTTTTTACATTTACAAATCTATGAAATACCCTGACAAAGTGGTGAGCCTTAATTTTGTTGATGTTGTTGATCCTTTGGCAAGTGAATTTGTGGAAGCTAACTTATCTACAATTTTTATAAGGAATCGAAGGACTACATGGGAATCAGGGAGTTTGAAGAAATTTTTTCCATTAATTCTGACTCACATTTGGTTATGTTGAAATATAAAATTCTTTTTTCTATTTTGCATGTACCAAAAGTTGAGTCGAAACAATTATCGGAACATTTGAAGAACTCATCTTTTCAACTTTTGGCGAAAAATGATGTATTATAGCCATTGTTTCATACAAGCTTCTAGAACTGAAAATGTCCTGAAGAAATGCTTATAAGATTTTTCGAAGCTAAAAGGAAAAAATGAAGTAGCTTGTTGATCGTAAAAGTTCTCGTAGGAAATTTCTTAGTTGGATATAGAACATGAAATGGAGTAAGCATCTCGAATAAATCTTGTAGTCTGAATTAGGTCTTCGCGCTAAACGACGTTAAACGAAGCACTCTATGAGAGGCATTCCATTTTCTTTTTAATTTCTTTAATTTGCTTCGATTTTAATCTTTTAGTTTTTTTATCTTTTTCTCTTTCTTTTCAACATTTTATTTATGTAAATTTTAAATTTTTTTATTGAATTTATAGGTACCATGTATTTTTCCGATCGAATTCTGATGAACGAGCATGACATTTATTTATGAAGGAATCAGACGAAGTTGAATCAAATTTTGGGACCATCGTGTGTAGCAAGAGGCAAAACCCCTGCACCAATGGAACACACCATATCGTTTAATTTGGCACTGGTGCACATTTGCAAAACCCACATTTTACTTTTCCCTTTTGAATGACATTAGCAAAACCCAAATGTTCAAGAAAATATATATTCCACCTACGTTTTGACTAGCCAAATTCAAACCTTCACTTTTTGTATTTTAACTCGGGCCCCACCAAAACATTCACTCTTTATACCCTTATACCAACTCTAAGGGTGCGTATGGTTCGCGGAATCTTACATTACCGGGAATACTCTTTTTCCAATAGTAGCATTTTTTGTTAAAATGGTAGAGGAATGTCATTACCTCCAAATTATTATGTAATCTTATATTCCCACCACTTTAGACAAGAATATCCTTGGACTAATGAATTATTTTTATAATGATACTTCTAAATACTTATTTTTTATACTTTAATCAAAATTATAAAAATAATAATAATATACAAAGAGTTTGATTTACTAAAATATTAATAATTTTGAGAATTTAAAATATTTTATATTTTTAATATTCAGTATTTTACTATTTAAAACTTTATGAGATGAAAAAATGGTATTATTATAAAAATGTAATTATTTAAAATAATATTTTACTACCAAAATATTATTTTTTGTATTATATTATATTATATTTATATAAATAAATAAGATACTTATGAACATTATTTAAAAATATAAATTTAATATACTAATTATATATTAAATGTAATTTCTCCTCAAAAGTTAGATAGTATAACGATTAAAATATTTTTATGAATTTTCATTCAAATATTTATAAATTAATATTAAAGTTTAACTTTAAAAAATATATCACAATGATAATTTGGTAAAATATGCATCCAAGTAATCTTATATTCCTCAAACCAAACATTGTAATCTTACATTTCTGCTAAACAAACCAAACAAGGTAATACAATATTCCCATAGTAATGTATTTTCGAGTAATGTTATTCCCAAAGGTAATATTACATTCCGTGAACCAAACGCCCCTAAGTGGGATTTACATCCCTCCCCCATCCTTTTACTGTTTAATCAAAATATTTTTTATATAGCCTACGTGATTCTTTAAAAGCCTTTTCAAAACCCTTTTTCATATCATCTTTTTTTTACATGAGATTGTCTCAGGAAAGGTGGACTAATATACGACGTTACCGGAACATTAAAAGAAATTTAACAAATTTGGTTTAGCGCTACAGGAAATGTTGAGTAATAATAATGTTGTAGGTGGAAATCATGAAGAAATATTAAAAAATTTGGCAACCAGTAAACTTAGCTTGTCGGTTTGTGTCGATACAAATAAAAAATTTATCGATCCATAGTAATAAAACTGGTAAAAATATGACAAAACTGGTTTCATTATGACAAAACCGGTAAAGTGCTACCAGATATGTTGAAAGTATCGATTAGATTGAAATAAGTATCGACATTTTTGGAATTTAAAAGAGAACCAACAATAGCGCCTATAAAGTGTCGATACGTTATAAAAATGTATCGATCCATAACAATATAACAGGTAAAAATATGACAAAATCGGTCTCGAAATGACAAAACCGGTAAAGCGCTACCGGATATGTTGAAAGTGTCAATACTTTATTATAAGTATAGACACTTTTTGAATTTAAAAGAGAAGCAGTAATAGCGCCTATAAAGTGTCGATACTTTATAAAAATGTATCGATCTATAACAGTATAACAAGTAAAAATATCACAAAACATGTATCATTATGACAAAACCGGTAAAGAGCTACCGAATATGTTGAAAGTGTCGATACTTTAATATAAGTATCGACACTTTTGAAATTTAAAAGAGAAGGAGTAATAGCTCCTATAAAGTGTCGATACTTTATAAAAATGTATCGATCTATAACAATATAACATGTAAAGATATGACAAAACCGGTCTCGAAATGACAAAATCGGTAAAGCGCTGCTGGATATGTTGAAAGTGTCGATACTTTAATAAGTACGCGTAAAATATTATCGAAACTTTATAAAGAAATAGGTTAATATCCTATCGAAAGTATCGACACCTGACATAAAAGTATCGACATTTTGGTAATTGTATCGATTAAATATAAATAACATATCCAGTTAAAATATAAAGGGCATAGCTAAATTTCCTCTGAAAATAGATAGAACACGACCAAGTTTTTGAGAAATCGAAGCATAATTGTTTCTGCATTTCAGAAGGCGATTTTAAAGCGAAGTTTGTTTGTTTGTTGCTGTAATTGAATCGAAAAGTACGTTGTCGAAACCCTAGTTTTTTATTATTACATTAATCAGAAATAGGGATATTATGTGTTGTTTGGGATTTTGGAAGTAAAGAAGCATTTGAGACCAATTACAGGTAGAAAGTGATATTCTAGGTAAATGATAAATATCAATACTTTTATTAAATATTATAGGTAAGAAATGATATTATAGGTTGTATAAATGTGTCAATACTTGGAGTATTTAGTGTTCTCATTCATTTGAAGGAAATAGGGATTAGGGTTTTTAAGTTTGGTTTGGGGATTTTGAATGGAAGCCAAGAATGATTTGGGACTGATTATATAATATTGTAGGTATAAAATAAATATGGATACCTGTATATAATATTATAGGTAGAAAATGATATTGTAGGTTATGTAAATGTACTGATACTTATAGTAGTGGCCATTCAAATTCTTTTGAAGGAAAATGATATTCCTTTTTGATATTTTGTAAAGATAATCAAGAGTCGAAGAGGCAATGAAGAGGCTTAATGGGGAAGTGGGTGGAAAAATAGATGGGGTGGTGAAAGAAGTTGTGGAGTTGAGGGATGAAGTTAAG